TCTAATAAAATAACAATTACCTTTTCTAGGTCCCTCTTTCTTTCTCTTTATCTCTCTCTTTCTTTCCTAGATATTGTTTTACTATGCAGCCTGGGCTAGTCTTAAACTTGCAAACCTCCTCCCTTAGTCAAGGAGCAGGAATTACAGGCATGTATTTCTGTGCCCCCCTCCAAAGCTACACAATACTCTATCCTGTGAATTAACATCCTTAACAAACTCCAGTCATAAACGTTAAGCTTTGCTGCAATTGTTAGAAATAGAGCTGCAGGAGCGGGGATACGGCTCAGTCAAGCTCTTACTTGCCATGCAAGCACGAGGGCTTGGGTTTGAATCTTCAAAAGATACTTAAACCTAGTTGCAGTAGTGTGCACATCTGTAGTAGCAGACAGTGAGAGGACAGAGAGGTGGAGGCAGGCAATTCCTTAGTCTCTTACTTGCCATGCAAGCACGAGGGCTTGGGTTTGAATCTTCAAAAGACACTTAAACCTAGTTGCAGTAGTGTGCACATCTGTAGTCGCAGACAGTGAGAGGACAGACAGGTGGAGGTAGGAGATTCCTTAGGAGCTCATGGTCCAGGAAAGCCTGATGTATACAGGATGGAGAAGACCCTGACTGAAACAAATAGAGGGCAAGGACTGATACCAGAGGGTGTCCTCTGACCTCCATCCTCACACTGTGGGTGCATGCACTTACACACTCATACGAAAGACACACAGAGAAGGAGAGAGAGAAGTTAACAGAAGTGAGAAGAAAGAGAGAGAGAGAGAGAGAGAGAGAGAGAGAGAGAGAGAGAGAAGGCTATAGTGTAAATCTGGTGTTAATCATTTCCACATCATATCTGTAGGACAAATTCCTGAAGATGGAATTACTGAGTGAAATGCTATGTACATTTCACAAGCCTTGTCAAACTGTCCTCACATGTCAAGGACACAGGCTCACATCAACAAGGAATTCGAGGAGCTCCTCCCTACCCTCCCTTGCCTAGCACCAGCAAAGGCACTATCACATTTTTGATCTTTTTGCTAACCCGATTAATTTGCATTTCTTTTTTAATGGAAAAAGTGGATCATCTTTCCAAGTGTTTAGGTCTCCTCTTTTTAAAAATATCTTTAAAACGTGTGTGTGTGTGTGTGTGTGTGTGTGTGTGTGTGTGTGTGTGTGTGCATGAGCACACATGCATGCTACAACATGCATGTGGAAGCCAGAGGATGACTTGGGGGAGTTGGTTCTCTCCTTCTACCAACTCTTGATGGCAGATACCTTTACCTGCTGACCCAACTATACTGCATTCACATTGTCTTTTTTGTTTTTGTTTGTTTGCTTGTTTTGAGACAGGGTTTCTCTATATAACAGCCTTGGCAGTCCTGGAACTCACTCTGTAGATTAGGCTGGCCTTGAACTCTGCCTCATGAGTGTTGAGATTAAAGGTATGCACCATCACTGGTGACTCACATTGTCTTTCTAAGAAACATTTATGTTTCTAAGAAACATTTATGAATGCTCATTCATTCATTCATAACCACTTATGCTGGGACTCTGTGCTGGATGATGTAGGAGTAGCAGGTAGATACGTGCATTCAAGAGACATAGCCCAGGACATGTGCTGTAGTGGAGAAGGATTTTGAGGGCCATTTGTTAAATGCTTATCTACATTTATGTATTTCTCTACCTCTCCATGCAACATACATGGGCAAATGTTTGGTTATATACTGAAACTAACAGAGATGGCTTTGACTGGAACCTCTCCATGCAACATACATGGGCAAATGTTTGGTTATATACTGAAACTTCCAGAGATATTTCCCCTCTTCGTGTTTCAATTTATTTATTTATTATTATTTGTGTATTAATAAATATTATTTATTTCAAGCTTTTGTTTTGCTCTTTGCTTGTTTGAGACAAGGCCTCACGTAGTCAAGCTGATCTCAAACTCCCTGTCTTACTTAGGCTGCTTTGCTGTGATAAAGAGCATGACCAAAAAGCAACTTGGGGAGGAAAGGGTTTATTTGACTTCCTGATCACAATCCATTATGAATGGAAGTCAGGGCAGGAACTCAAGGCAGCAACCTAGAAATAAGAACTGAAGCAGAAACCTTGAAGGAACCTGGCTTCAGGATGCAGACCCCAGAATTTCGTTTCTCTGATGGCAGCTTCAGGCTCTGTGTCCAAGGGCGACCTCTGTTGGTGAGATTTAAATTTGCTCTTTTCTGCCCCATGAGTTTTTTTTTCAGGCTGTGGAGCTGAGGCTCACTGTTTTGTTTGTCGGCTAGAATTCTTGAGATTTACAGGCAACTCACCTAGCCTCATTATGCCTCTCATTTCTAATTGTCTTCTCAGTCCCCAGTCAGTCCCAGGAATCCAGGACTAGAGGCTTGGAGAAGGGAGCCACAGTTGTGGCCAGCCCTTCAAGCTTCAAACAGACATGCTTAGAAAAGGCTTTGGTGGTGGGTGGGTGGAGTGAGGTGACCTTTGTTTTAAGGGACAGATGTGGAATACGGCTAGTTGACTGATGAAAAACTGCTAGATTCAGGCAGTTCGTGGACAGAGGGCAGGCAGGATGTCACAACACGCAGGATGTCACAACACACAGGATGTCACAACATACAGGATGAGGTCTAGAGGTTGCATATCTCAGGGAGGTGATGGGAACTTATCACACAGGGTGTGGAGGGTGGGTGTGATCCGTACCCCTGGCCAAGACAACCACCCTTCCCTCTGGGGCATCTTGGCAAGAACTAGAAAGCTAACAGTTCATTTTGTAGCTAGCCCCCCATCTCTGCACTTATAAGTCCTTGGATTTATAGAAGTGTGGTTAGGAAATCCATCAGGTTCGCATTGTCAGTATTCACCCAAAAAGAATTACCCATCATCTCCTGTCTGTCACAGAGGACTGAGTAGAAGTGCTGAGTGGATGTGGCTGGATAGTCTGGTTTTAGACTTACAGAGCCTGTCTGTAATTCATCAGCATTTTCCCCCACCCCAGGCATTGGCCAACAATAAAGAAAACTGGATACCAGAGGCATGAGCTGGGCACTTTGGATCTTGGAGAAAGCATGACAAAGCACTTCCCAGAGCTCATCCTTTAAACAGGAGATGTCTCTTCATTTCTCAGAGGCCTGAGGAAATGAGCTCGTCCCATGCTCCGCTGGTTGGAAAGGGGGAGTCTCACACATGGCTCCAGTGAGGCTGATCCAAACACACCCTTCTCCACTGCACACATGTCGCTTAGCTAGCCTGTGCCCCAGTGTTTGTGGGTCTAGGGAATGGGGCACCTTAAGAAAGGGATGCAGTGAGTACTCACAACATGAGGACTGGATGCCCACTTAGCAAGAGGGCTCATTCCGGTTCCACCCTGCTAGAAAGGAAGGACCAAGAAAGGAAGCCTGCCACAGAACCCAGTCCTTGGTGTACTTAGATGTCAAGGTCAGTCTGAGACTCTTGATCACTGTTTCCATCTTTCTAGAAAAGGTTTGGAGATGTGCTTCCCCGGTTCCAACAATTGCCCGAAAGCTTCTGCCCAGAGGACATAGGCAAAGACCTCCGAAGTCTCTACCATAGACTTAAGTCCTAAAACTGGAGAGCACTGGCTAGAGTGAAGCCCCTCCTACATAGTGGTCCTCACAGGACATTGGCAGGCAGGAAGAAAGAATGTATATATTCAGACTCCCACTAACCAGAGGAGAGAGCGCTGAGTTCCAAAGTTCCAAAGGGAGGCAGAATGTAAGAATTGCAATCAAAGCCCTCATCTTAAAAGTAAAATGAAAAGAAGAAAATCCCCAAACACCTTCCGCCCCCTTGCCAGGCTTGGAGTGGGTAAGTGGCAGATGCTCCAGGCACCCAGTGTTGTAGAGATGCCATAATCTGTAGGAGCTGACTCCTGTGGCAGGAAATAGCTCACCGGTGGTACCTTCTTGATTTGACCCTTGAGAACATGGTCCTGTACTGGCACCGGGGTTCAGCGTCCCACTGCCCTAGATGCAGGACAGCAAGCACTCGCTGTGAATTAGTGCCCATAGCCTCCAATCTCACTGAAATCCTCTTCCCCAGGCTCTTGTCCATGGTCAAGTAACTAGCATGTGCAGAAAACTGGCACGTGTGAAGTCACTCCACCTACCTTTCTTCTGGGACGTGTGCGTGTGCGTGTGCGTGTGCGTGTGTGTGTGTGTGTGTGTGTGTGTGTGTGTGTGTGTGTGTGTATGCATGTCAAGCTGCCTGGGGTGTCCCCCCTCAGGAGCTGCCCATTTTTTTTGTTTTATTATTTTCCTGTTTTTATTTTTATTTAATTTTTTTCTTTGAGACAGGGTGTCTCTCTTTTACCTGGAACTTGCCAAGAAGGCTAGGTTGGGTCAGTAAGGCCCTGTCTCCACCTCCTATACGCTGGGATTACAAACCAGCGCCATCACGCAAGGCCTTTTTACATCGATTCTGGGAATTGAACTCTCTTTTTCAAGCCTGTAAGCACTTTAGTGACTGACCATCTCCTTAGCCAATGAACCTTCTTTCAAAACAAGGTCTCTGACTGCAAGAGGGTGCATCTAGACCCAGGAGACTATGGATTCTGTTGATATGTCCGCTTACAAAAACGGGGAGGGGTTTGAAATCTAATAGCCGGAATGTGGAAGTCGCAGGCCTTTCTTCTCTCTGGCCTGCTTGTCCCTTGGGGAGGCCACTGGGTGTAAGGCGCACTTCCATAGCTACAGCCCTCCGAGGTCGGCCGCGCTCGTCCTGGGCTCCAGCGCCCTCACCTGGTGGCCGCAGCATGTCCCGGAGGCTGCTCTCGGGCTTGGGTCTGCGGCTTTCCGAGCTGCCGCCAGAGCCCGCCCGGGTCCGGCCCCGCAGGCGGCCCACCTCGGTGAGTGGGAGGACGCTGCCCCGAGACGGGGAGGGGGGAGAGGGGGGGCACGGGATGAGTGCGGGCGCCGGGGGCTCTGGATGGGGAGGAGTCAGCCCCGGAAGGCGGCTATAAAAAGCGGCAGCTCTGGCTGGCAGCTCAGAGCTAGCAGCTAGCAGCTAGTAAGCCAGTGAGCGCGCGGAGGCGAGAGAGGAGCGCCTGCCGCGCAGAGTGGCCGTGGTCTGGTGCTGGGGGAACACTGTGCTGAGTGAGGCCGGATCTGCAGCCCACTTCCAGGGAGCTCTCCTCCGGTTGGCTCACGCTCAGGAGCTCGACGCGTGGGATCAGATACTAGACTCCGGGATGCTGCACTCCAGGTCCCCGAGGCGTGGCACTGTCTCGGGCATCAACCGGAGGTAAGGGGACCGCGGAGGTAAGAGGACCCGGGCTGGGGCTCGAGGGCTGCATGGATTTAGCCTTGGAGGGGAGAGGACAGTCGGAATCCCGCGCCTCCCCTCAGTTTAGGGAAAACGTTGCTTTCCGTCTGTCTGTCTGTTTGTCCAGCCTGTTCTATGCTGTTTGTCTGTCCTCCTGCCTGCCCGTGTGTGTGTATGTCTGCCTGCCTGCTAGTCTGTTTGTCCATACTTGTGTTAGTGGGCATATGGCCCCGTTACCATCTTCTGTGGATATCTCTGAGATCTTTACAAGCGGCAGGTGTTGGGGACACAAACGCATTCGACGGGAGGCAGGTCTCTGCTTTGCTTAGGTGAATAGCACTAGATGCTCACATAAACAACAGTGTCTCACTGAAGAGGGATGGCCCCGAAGCAGGTCTCGGAAGGAGCCCGGTGCAGTGAGCGAGCTTACCCTGTGACTAGTGATCGTGAGCCTCCAAGTCTGCACCTGGTCGCTGCCTCTGCTTTGGCAAGGTCTTCTGGGTTCCCTCGTCAGCCTCTGCCGTCCCAGCGATGCGCTGGTACAGTGCGATCGGAGATGATCTGATGTTAGACGACCTCGGTGGTCCCTGCTGGTACTTAAGCAAACACTAAGCCTGGCAGCGCTGCAGGAATGTTTGTTGGCCCCTGGCAACGGACCGTCATCTGCAAGAAGGGTCACACTAGATTGACAGAAAAACCAAGATCTCAGCAGAGCATAAACCTGAGTCGTGCACCGTTCTCCTGTTTGCCGCTCTGGGAACCAGGTCCGGGGAGATTTCGGGATGAACCCAGGAGAATGCGTGTGTTCTTGACAAGAAGGGAGGTGAACCCGTGTTCCCCAAGAGTTGGACATTCCACCAGCGCCAGGTCTGAGTGAGGTTCTCAGTCCTGCTCGGAGCAGCCAACCCTGCCCACAGGTAAGAATTCCCTTTTAAAGCCAAGCTTTTGATGTGAGAGCCACGGCCTGGCTGAAGCCCTGTTCAGTAGACAGTGAGCCAGGGAGTAGTCTCCGTGTCAGCGGTCTGGAGAGGGACCCCAGGCGCGCCCGCGGGACAGGCGGCTCTGCGTGCCAAGGCGCGGCGCCACCATGGACAGCTCCCAGCTACTTCCGCCACTCGGGGCCTGTGGCGGTGAGTCTGGAGTAGTCAGGCACCTCCTTCAACGAATCAGGTGTTGAGACTGGGAAGGGAGAAAGGGACTAAAAGTCCTGGGGACTTAGGTGTTCTTTCTGGAGACACTAACCACCGAGGAAGGGGCCTACGCTGCCAGGGGCTGGCTGTGGTTTTCTACCAGGTCCCAGCAGAGCTTGCATCTGATTGTGTGTAGCCTCTTAATGTCACTTTAGTTTCACGTGGCACCATGGAGATCCCTCAGAGGTGTGACAGGTGTGCAACCTTTGTTATATGATCCAGACAGTGAGATAAAGGTGTATGTAATTAGGTATAGAACTAGATTGCTTTCAGTGTAGAGTTTAAGATCATTTTTGGGAACAATTTAATAAATAAGGCAATGAATCAGTATTTTAGTTTCACAGTTTATGACAGAATGAAGAAGAAACCACATCAGACAAAATTACAAGGAAGTGTCTGAGTGGGTGTGCAAAATCAGCTGTACTCCTCTTGATCCTAACAGTGTCCTCTAAAGAAAGACTCTGGAGGAGGCTTCCAAGGGCTCTGCTTAGCCCACAAGATGATGGTTCAAACGGATTACTTGGGAATGGGGTGAGGGGTTGTCTCCTATACAGAATGGACTCTTCTTGTCAACACCACCTATACCAGTGGTTCTCAACCTTCCTAATGCTGCAACTCCTTAATGCAGTTCCTCAGGTTGTGGTGACCTCCAGCCATAGAATTATTTTCATTGCTACTTCATGAGTGTAATTTTGCTACTTTTATGAATCATAATGTAAATACCTATGTTTTCTGATAGAATTTGGGGATTGTGACACATGGGTTGAGAACCACTGACGTGTACCAAAACACAGAAGTGTGTGTTCCTTTATTTTAAAAATTATAAGAAGTCAGAAGGTCTTTTCTGCATGTGATGGAAGCATATGTATAATAAATAATAAAAAAGAGAGAGCGGGAGAGAAATATGTGACCAAGGGAAAGTCAACTAAACTTATGTCTGCTTCCTCATCTGTAGCTGGGGGCAAGTGGGATCTATCAGTAAGTGGCTAGGGTAATCACTGGCATAAAGCAAAGCATTAAGTCCAGTGCTGAGCAGAGAGAACTCCCAAAATGGTACTGGTTACAAGTGCATTTCAAAGTGCTATGCATTTTTCTGAACTATGTTTACCAGCTCAGTGTCCTCTTTCTTAACCCAGTAACTGGTTGGGAGTGATTCCATTGCCATTTATTGTCACATTTGACAACTCACTGATGGAAATGAAAGTACTGAGGAAAGATAAGTTGAAGGATTTTTTTTTATGAGTGAAGGATTTTTTTTAATGAGAGACCAATCAGTTCATTGTTTCTCCACCTGTCCAACTTGGGGAAAATTTTTTTTAAAGAATTAATTTTCATACACAGAGAACCCCTGTCTCGAAAAACCAAAAAAAAAAAAAGTCATTTTCAGCACATCCCTTTAGCCCTTTGATCTACATAATCATTTCTTCCTGCACTTTTTCTTGCCCCACCTGCTAAGGAGCACCACTATCTTGCTGAGGGACGACACCCTTGGGGGACAGGCATGGAGGGTCTCTAGGCCTTTTGTTTCTAGATAAAGCTCTGCTTAGCTACAGAGGAAAGACATTGGTCTTACCAAACCCAGAGTGGTCACGTCATACATACACTCTCTTACATGCTTGCATTTTGCTCAGAAATGATAACCTGGTCAAGACACTTTGCTCATGATATTTTGGCCCTCACTGGATTTGGAGGTCCCCTTAAGTTTCTTCATCTTGGGTTTTGTCTGGTAGAAAGCACTAGCATGTGACATGCCACAGAAATTTGGATAATGGAGCTACAAGCACACAGTATCGTAGGAAGATCTCCCCCAGAGTGTGCACGCACATGTGCCTATTTCTGCAAGTTTCCCATTCTAGTGTGCTCAGACTTTCCTTCATTCCCTCTCTCAGTAGATCAGACGGGATCTTTGCTTCTGCCACTTGAAAGGAAAATGGAGTTCACGAGCAGCCTACAGATGCCGGGAGTCTTTCTGTGACTTTCATCCACTGATGATGTGACTACAAAAGAAGGATGTGGGTCCCCACTTTACCCTGAAGTCTGGGCTGCCTTCTCAGCACTACAGAGTCCAGTCTCCAGTGTCCCTGTAGCTTCCAGGTAAGAAAATGACTGAACCATGGAACACTCCTGGGAGGCAAGGCCAATGAGGGGAGAAAGTGGCCTGCGTGGAAAAAAGGAACTCATCATTGGTTCTGTAGTATTCTGTCTGTGGCAGCTGTGTTTGAGTTTTTGAGACAGACAGATCAGATGGCAAGGGTGACATTTGGTGAGGAAGGCCAGTGGGATGGTAAAGGCAACTCTAGTTACTCTCATTGGCTCCTTTGAAACCTGCGGCATAAGTGACCCCTTTTAGTCCTGCCTGGTGTGGGCAGATCAGCACCATCATTGGATTAAATGCACTTTGCATTTTATCTATAGCTCAAAAGGCATATGCTTGCATGGATCTCAACTGCCCAAAGGGAACAAAGTTATGCTTGTGAGCTTTGTCCACAAGATTCTCTGACTGTGACAATCTGGGTGACATGTATCTTTGCATGTGGTGGCAAATACGCAGATGTTTGATCTTATTGCAATAATGTTGCAGCTGTTCTTCTGGTTTTCAGTGAGATGAAGGCAGCTCCAGTTTCCTTTGAACAGGGACTAGAAGGATCTTGCTCACTTGACTCTGGTTGGGTTGGCAGAGGTAGGGAGTGGGTACTGGGGA